CACAGATCATTAGATCCAACATAATATTCTTCAAAATACAACATTCTCATAGCTCATCAGCATTTCAAATGTGTGGTCCACAACACGATGCATGCTTTCTTATCCATAATAGATCTGGGATCATAAGTTTGCGATGACAATAAATTGGGGTCATAACATATTTGTATTCAAAACCCAGATAGAGCCCAAAATCATGAATTGCAAACAAGAATTAAAATATAAGATGAAAATTACAATGACTTTCAGATTTTCGAAAACCGAATAAAGGATCCAAACCCCAAAATACAAGAAAAGGGAGACGAGAGAAACCAAAGAGGCTTTTTAAAGAGAGAGAGAGAGAGAGAGAGAGAGAGAGAGAGAGAGAGAGAGAGAAAAGCGTCCATGGAACCACAACCATGGGTTGCTAGCGTGAGAGAGAAGAAGAAAGATAGTAAGGAAGAAAGATATGGATGGGAGGCGACAACTAGCACTTGTCATTATTTTTAGGCTATAACTTGTATGGATCAATTTGTGGCCTACCGATTGAAATTTGTTTTGCCCGATGGACTATAAATGAAGTTCTCTCAAGGGATTTTTTCCTAACTATACCATATATGAAACCTTATTACTCTAAATGTGCATAGTTTGTTAATTACCCGCCCAGTCCACACTTTAACTACAGTTTATATACCATTCGACTATTAGGCATTAAAAGGGCAGAATATTCCCTAAAAACGCGCTAAAATTAAGGAGAGAATCTTGGTGTTAATTGATTCTACATTAAATTCAATTTTTAAAAAGGGAAAGGAGATTTCTCATCTGCGTATTTTTCTCCAGAACTACAATTCAAATTCTCGAAAAAAAAAAGAACGAACAATTCAAATTTTCGAGTTTCAACAACTCAAAGTTGAAAAAATCTGTTCTTCCATATATTTTCCACCATTGATAGCCATTAAAAAGCTTGAAAGCTTTGAATTCAAATTTGGGTTTTCAAAAATCATTATTTGTTTGGATTGAGTGTTGTTGTAAATAATTCGGAATATGTTTAGGAGTTTATATCTCAATTTTGAGGGGTTTTGGTGAAGATTAGACTTGGTTTTGACTAAATTTCAGATTGAAACTCGAAGAAGAAGAAGAAGAAGAAGAAGAAGAAGAAGAAGAAGAAGAAGAAGAAGAAGAAGAAGAAGAAGAAGAAGACATATTTCCAGAAATTGTAGATAAATTGTAGAATTGTAGATCAATTGTAGATAAATTGTAGATTGGGAAGACTAAAACATCTACAATTTATCTACATTTTTTCTAATTTTTCTACAATTTATCTACAATTTCTACAAAATTACTACATTTATACTACAAATAAACTACAATCTTATGTGAAAAAAAATATTGACAACAAAATTTGCTCTTCATCTACAAAAATCGTCACCGTTTATTGGATTGGTACATTGAACTTTTCCGACTCCGGCAACTTTTCTGGCAATCGGACGACTACCTACAAGTCTACCACAAGCAACACACCTTCTGAAATCTCCAATAGCGATGGTAAAAAGGAGCAGCGACGGTGGTGCTGACCATGTACTCTTCGATATTTTTTTCCGGTAATTGAAGAACCACCCACAAGTGTACTGTGTACAGCTATCAAATCAACACAGCTTCCGTCAACTTATGCTGGCAAAATAGCTTCATTTAGCTACTACAATTTTAGCAATTATTACATGAATTACTAGGTAAAATGAGATTCATCACCTAGCCAACAACTTATTTAGTATACTTTTTTTATGTTTATAAAAATGGATTAAAAAGCAAAACAGAGTAGAATAAGAAAGAAATGAGAAATAGAAACGGAGAAGAGAAAGAAATGGGANTGTACTGTGTACAACTATCAAATCAACACAGATTCCATCAACTTATGCTGGCAAAATAGCTTCATTTAGCTAATACAATTTTAACAACTGTTACATGAATTACTAGGTAAAATGAGATTCATCACCTAGCCAACAACTTATTTAGTATACCTTTTTTATGTTTATAAAAATGGATTAAAAAGCAAAACAGAGTAGAATAAGAAAGAAACGAGAAATAGAAACGGAGAAGAGAAAGAAATGGGAAGGGGAAAATGGGCTGGTCAGATCTTAGTAATTAAGGGGAGAGAAACGTGAGATATATGGACACCTTTAATTAAGGAGTAAGAAACTGCCAATTAATTATACCTCTAAATTAATTATGGTATATAAATGGTAATTTGGTATACTGAAATATAATAAACACAAACCTTAAACATTGAGGGTAATAAGATTTCATATATGGTACAAGAAGGTAAAAATCCCTTCTCTCAATAGCTGTTAATATCGGCCAATAATTGCTTCCGGCTTGAGTCCATCGGCTCCACCTCGTCTCAGCCCATCCGCCAAGAGATTGGACTCACACAGCACGTGAAGCTCAACTTGTTCCCAAGTTTGCATCTCTGCAGAAATGGCCCGGGGACTTTCCTGGGCCCTAACCCACTCATTGACTAGATCTTCACGTCGTCTTGCAGTCTTGATGCGTAGCTACTCTTTTCTCGAGACCAATTGAAGCAGCTTTTTAAACGGTGTGTAGCATCCCCGCGTTTAAAGGGGTTGTTGTATTCGAATCTTCAACAACAAGGCAAAAGAAAAAGAAAAGAAGCCTGCAGAATGTGCATCAGACATTAAAGGTATATATTCTCCTTTTTATCTTTTTTTTTTGCAAAGTAAGTATTTGTGGTCGAGTAGTACTACCTAAATACCATTTATGTTATACGTGAAAATCAGTGGCGTAGCCAAAAATTTCACAAAGGATGTTCAATCTTTGGATAAGTAAATAATTTTTTTTAATAAATTGGTGCACCGAATTTTTTTTATAATAAAACGCACAATATTTAGCTAAATTATAAAAACACTTTAACAGAATTAACTATTTTGTAAATCAAAACCAATATAAAGGAATCAACAAAAAAAAAAATATTACTACTGAAAGCAAAATTTAAATATATTATTACAATTGTACTCGACGAGGTCTCATCTCTTGACATATTTTTATAATCTCATTAGAAATAATACAAAATACTTTTTTTTTTTAAATATAAGGCACTATGCAACCGTCCAAAAATTCATTATCCATTCGATTCCGCACGTCATTGTGGATAAACTTCATTACAGAAAAAGCTCTTTCAACAGGTGCAGTAGCAACTGACAGAAGCAAAGCAAGTTTCACTAAGCAGAATGAGGATAAGTAATATTCTTTTTTGTCTCAACTAGTTTTTTTGAAAGTTCACCAAGTCCACCTTAATTGGGGAACCTTTGACCAATATCACGTACATCAACAATATAATTAGCAAGTTGATTCTCAAGGACACCTAAATTAAATTCATCAAAGTCATAACTAAAAAATGAATCAACTGGATTCAGGCAAGCTACTCCATGAAACAAATCACTTGTCACCTCATTGAAACGTGCGTTAAGTTCTTGAAGTTGCCAATTAATAATTTTATAAAACACATCCACATAATAATGATGTAAAGTAGTATGATCAACAAGTTTACGTCGTGATCATCCTGAGTTAGCATATTGCTCATCAAAATTGGGTATGTGAATATCATGACTGGTACAAAATGTAGATACCTTATTTTTAAGTGGATCTCATCCATCAACTCTGAACTCTTGAAGCCTTTGTTTTGCTACTTCAATAAGTATCATGGCATTAGCAATATCTTGCTCCTTTTTCTAAAGCGATATATTAAGATCATTGTGATTCCCAAAATATCTTTCATAAAATACAACATGAAAGCAACCTCAAACGTTTGGCAACTTCTAAGATATCCTGTTGCCTTAGCTCTTTCATCTAAAATACTTGCATCTTCAGCAAGAGTATCAAGTACATCAATAATAGAGTCAAACAAAAGTATAAAATTTCCAAACGACTTGTAGTGAGATCCCCAACGAGTATCACCGGCTCTAACAAGACCAAGCTCTTGATTCAAACCTTTACCTTTTTCTAGCTCACCTATATCTAATGCCTCTTGGAGTCTTTTTTTTAAAGATTCTCGAAGTTCATCCATATGTTTAAAAGCAGCTCCCAACACATTCAAAATATTTGAAACTAATAGCACAAGTTCTCCCACTTGAGCACACTTTTTTGAAACTGCCACAAGAGTTAATTGAAGTTGGCGAGCAAAACAATGAATAGAACAAGCCGATCTACTTTCTTGTTCAATCAAAACTTTAAGACCATTGATATCACCTTGCATATTACTTGCCCCGTCATAACATTGTCCACGTAAAAAAGATAAACTTAATGAATGATGAGCAAGTATGTTAACAATTACTTTCTTCAGGGATAAAACACTAGTATCAGGAACATGAACAAGTCCAATAAATGCCTCCACTACAAATCCTTTTCTATCAACATATCTTAAAACAATAGCCATTTGCTCTTTTCGTGACACATCAAAAGATTCATCAACTAATAGACAAAAGTAGTCACCATTTAGGTCCTTTATTATAGCCTTAATTGTTTCTATCTTACATGCGGTCATAATATTTTTTTGGATGTCTGGAGAAGTCATTTTATTATTTTTTGGAGCATTTTGCAATACAAAAGGCTTAATCTTTTCACATCTATCTCGGTACCTTGAAAGAACTTCAAGAAAGTTACCTATGTTCAATGACGATTCACTTTCATCGTGATCACGGAATGACAATCCTTGATTCAAGAGAAGTCTTACCACATCAATTGAAGCACTTAAGCGAAGCCGATATTCATATTTCATTTGATTAGACTGTTTGTCAAATACAGCGTGAATGGACTGTTGTTGTTGCATTAGATCTTCACAATTTCTTTTTGCTTGATTATGAACACTATTCGGCCTACCAATATGCTTTTAAAAGCTGTCTTTGATCTTATGCCAATTTCTAAACCCTTTACTTGAAAATACATCATCTCCACCTTGATGAATATTATCACCTTTAACAAATAACAAGGTAAACAATATGCTGCATCTGTACTCACATTATATTCCAACCAGTCACCATAATCATCAAACCAATTAGAAAGGAAACGACGCTTTGATCCTGAAAAGTCAGATTGAGGGACCTCATGACTCCGAGGTTGGCAAGGACCAATTCGAAGGTATTCCCTCCTTATTTCATCACGATGGTTTGGATGATAATTCAAAATTGGAATTCTTTCAGCTGGATCATGATTTATAGAATATAAATTAAGTTTTTGTCTCTGAGCAGAATGCGATGATATTTCTGATTGGTCTACAGTTTTTCTCGATTAGGTTGATTTTGAGATGTCAAACTTGTTTTTGGTACTTTACTGAAAAATTTCCTCAAGTCCATTGAAACTTCAAATCAAACTGAAATAATAGTCAAGTGCATCACACTTATTAGAAATAGAGAGAACATGTATTAAAAAGCACCGTAAGTACTTACTGTAACACTACAAGAGTCGAAAAAGCTAAACTTTACCACTACTCCAGCTTAATTAGCAGAATCCAAGAGCAATATACAAATTTTACTTCTTAAATCTGAAAATTCAAACTATGTCCCAAATTCGTATACACAACCACCAAATTGTTCCTTACTTTTTTTTAAAGAACAAATATATGTTCAGGAATGATGAATCAGGTCATCTAAGTATCAGTTATTTTATCTTAGTTGTAAATTGTTTAAGAGATTTAGAAATATTTAGTAAGTTTTCAATCTCTAAAGACTCTAACAATAAAATTAAGATTATAAATTGAGCAGAAAAAAGAAAAGAAAAAGAGAAAGACAGAAGAATCTAACCTGAAATTGAATCAGATTCAGAGTTAGACTGCAAGATTTCACAGGCATTCGTGATCCGACAATAACGCAGTAGGCTTGCAAGGCAAAAAGCAAGGGATGGTCTTTTGTTTCTCTCCTCTGTGTTTCTTCTTTCTATTTTGGCAAAGTTAGGTTTAGGTCACTTTTTTATTAAGTAGCTTTCAATTAAACAATGATCTTTAATATTTTTTTATTGAAAAATTAAAAAAGAAAAAGAAAGTCAGAGGTTGGTTGGGATGCGGAAAAGAACGACACGGGCTCATTTGTTTGCACTTAATGGAGGTCTGAATCTTAATCATTCAAATCTCAAACTTTAAGTGTGTCGTTTGTTTTTAAAGTCTGAATCTTAATTATTAAAATCTTAATCATTAATTTTTTTTTACTTCACAACCACTTAATGAGTCTGAATAGGCATGTATGATTAAGATCTATAACAATAACTTAATTTCATTAAGATGTTATCATCCACATTCATTATTGACTGCCGCCACGGCATACCATTATCAACTACTATCATGCCATCGCCACCACCACCACCACCATCCTCAATCATAGCCGCCATTGTCGACTACCACCACCCACCATCCTCACCACTCTCATCACCATTATTTTCAACCACAACCAACACTCATCCTCCTCAATTAATCACTCCATCACCATCAATAATCGTAGAAGGCATTGTCCATCATTATAAACTACCGCCACCCACCACCACCTTGCTCAATCACAACTACCACCATCACCCGCCATTACTAACTATCACCACTACCCGCCATTACTAACTATCACTAACCACCACTACGCCACTATCCTCCATCATAATAGCCTCCACTACCAATTATCACTAGTTACTATCTTGAACTACCACCATCAACCAAAACTACCACCAACCGCCGCCTCTCGCTGGCATTTACAAGCACTACCGTTAGCCATCACCATCAGGAGCCACCATAGAATATAGACTAATTAGTATTTCATTTGAATTTTATATTTATTAATTTTCAAATAAAGATAAATTTTATATATTCAGATGTTAAAATTAAACAATCTTAATTATTTAATATTCAAATCTTAATACATGTCTTAATATTCAGATTCAGACGTCTTAATCTTAAAAATAAGAAAAGAGGCCTTATATTGCTTCTTGAAAATATGATAATATAAAACAAATGGACTGTACCAAAAGCTTGCATTGAGATTCGAAACTACAATTAGTGGAACATTTTGCACACCCTTCGCAGCTGGGCTACCTCACCCGGCTGTGTTAAGGTTGTGCAAGCTATTGTATATATTAAAATAAAATAATATTTTATTTATATACACAGACAATTTTCCACATTCTATTAAAAAAAGAAAGAGGGAAAGATATACCAAGCTTTCTATTGTAAAAAGAAAAGGAAAGATACACTAACCCCGTGCTTTCTATTGGAAAAAAAGGGGGATCCGCAAGAGATTAAATTATATTGAATTTATTGTTTGCAGTCTGCGTTCACAGAGCATACATGTATAAAAATTGTACAATGTGAAATGTCGTAGAGGCTTCGCACTATGTATACAATCACAAACCGTTTAGCTCATAGTTATTCACAGAGCTGTAAGCACCAAGGAAAAATTAATAAACTATAACTGACCGAGTAGGATAAAAAGTGCACCAGTGGTCTAGTGGTAGAAGGCCACGATACATTCGATTTCGGGCATCTTTTATCTTTTTGGGTTTTCGCATTCTTCAGTATCATAATCATAGATAACTGGTTCTATGTTTGAGGAGATGATAATCCTGTTCTATAAACTATAAATAAACTTGAGCATTAGGATTCCTCAGGGGAAGCATGTATTATCATGAGCCGGCCAAAGATCTAAGTTTCTCGATTATGGAGTCTATAGCGGAATGGGAGTTGTTGGTGCCTGTCAGTGGCAGATGTTTAGGTGCTTCAGCTCTATCAAAATAAAATTGTCCAGAAACCAACTTCTCTTTTGGTTGTAAAGCCAACCAGATTACTGTATCTGCACCTTCCTCACTACTTCTAAGTTTTCCTTCAAACCTACAAAACATCATGAATAGTATTACTATCTTTTAAGAAGATAAAGGAATTCATAAGGGAGTGTTCTATCCACATACGATTTTGAAAAATCCGGCAAACTCTTGGATACTCCAGGCGTTTCGGCCCACCCCGGATGCATGGAGTAGAAACGAACACCTTTATCCTTGTACATTTCAGCCCATTTTTCTGTCAATGCAACCTGAAATGAAGATGGGCAACTCTATTGAGATGATAGTAACCTTGAGATACAAAATATTAGAGTGGTAATTTAGGTGGAAAGCAAACAAGATAGGGACGGACATCTAGATGTATACGTTTATTGAAAGATCACGATATGCATATCCTTGATGTCCTGTGTATCCATGTTAGAACAAACGCAAACACAACACAAACAAAGAGAAAGGAAAGACGCATATTTGGCAAGACCAAGTAGCAAAACTTTTAGTTAGTTCCAAATGTTAAAATGAAGGGGGAACCCAGAGAGATAAAATTCTCTATACTTTTCCACAAGACTTAAAAGTCTCCATCATCAACTAACTTCTATAGAGAAACCATATGCTTGGGATTGCACAATTAGGTTGCGATTGAGGTAAAGGCCTCCATGGGATCAGCAAATCAAATCCAATTTGCTGTAAGATAAAAATGAAAAGATTGTTGTCTAGGAATGAGGGAGAGAAAACTACTCCATATTTGTTTTTGAATCTTAGAAGAACCAGACACCTTAGTTATCTAAGATGAAAATGGCATCTCCATATGCTCTTTAAGACATCACGAAGGGGCTTACTGTTCAAAATACTCAGTAGCTTACACCACATAAACGCTCAACTTTTTACACGAGGAAATTAGATGACTAATAGGTTTGCTGAATGAAATAAGGGAGGTAAATCACTAATTTCTCTTGGATCTTTAAATAAATGAAATTAGAAAATGAGTAGAAGCATTTGAGAGTAACATATATATATATATATATACACACACATATACATATATATATCAAAGAGTTCTCTAGTAAATCTCTTAGAAGTACCCGTTCTCAAGACAATATATTTAATGTACCTGAACTCTCTTGTTCCGAGCATACTGTTCCACCCCATCAAACTTGTTACTACTAAACTGCAAATATAGTTTATCAGAACATAGTCATCCTAGCAAGATCGATGTATTCAGAAATTGGGAATAAAATTACCTGTAAATCAGTTGTCAGTGGCGCTGTGTACATCCCACCCGAGGCAACTGTGATAACACGAGCATCAGGTGCCGCCTTCTCAAGGAGTGGTAACATCAACTCTGTCAAGGTGTAAGTGCCAAGAACATTGGTAGCAAAACTCAGCTCATATCTGTTGTTAAGATAATAAAAGGATGTAATTAACATTTGAACAGATCCCCAAAGAGAGTATTATTGAAAGCTTTAGAAGCACTAAACACGAGCCTGCCTACCCTTCTTGAGTGATGACACGATTGCTTTCAAGCAGGCCAGCATTGTTAACCTTGTTATATAAGAAAAAATGAAACTGGTAAGAAAGAATAGAAATCATCTAATGAAGAATCTTAGACGGTGTCAGTGGAAAAAGGTTCACAGCTGAGGAAAGGTACACTACCAGGACATGGACAGGTACATCTTTTGAACAAAACCTGGAAGCGAAGGATTTGACATCATTGACCGATGAAATATCACAGACCTGCCAATTTTGAAAGAAAAGTGACCAATAAACAAAGCTTCAAAATGAAAGATCTCCTCTTGCAGCAATTCAGATAATACAACTAAGAACTACCTCCAAGTAAACATTTTTATTTCCAGTGATTGAGTGAATTTTGGTAAGAGCGGCCTCTCCCCTCTCCTTATTACGGCATAACATGTAGACAGTCGCCCCACTTGAAACATTCGAAGTCAAAACTGTTAGTAAAACTTAGATCAAAACATTGTTCTTTTATCGATTACTCAATGCCAACTCCATAAGAATGAAGAATTGAAGGCAGGATAAGCACCGTGAAGCGAGGCCTTCAGCAGTTGCAAAACCAATGCCGGAATTTGCACCTGTGACAATGCAATTCTTTCCTTCCATTTGAACTTGCATATCCTCTGGCTTGAACTTCTTTGCGTGTTCCCTAAAATCCAAATGGAGCCAGAAATTATTCTTTTTCCATTGAAATCCTTGACGCACAGAAGTTCCCAGACATAGATTCCACTTATCAAATAGTTTTAATCGAAAGGGAAAAAATGGGATCTTGATCACAAAAACAAATTATCAGTTTAAGAGTCTTGATCAATATTAATCCTTTTCTACATATTTCCTTAGGAAAACAATAATTTACAAATGACATATTTCCACTACTCATTATTGTTCTCCTGTTCAAACCTGCTGAAAACTGTTTTTTTTAGCGGAAGGTCCTTCGGAAACCGCCCCTCTAACTTCACAAGATAGGGGTAATGTCTGCGTACAATTTACCCTCCCCACACCACACATGGGATTACACCGGATAAATTGTTGTTGTTGTACATATTTCCACAACAATTTCCAATTCACCACACCAAATGCTAGAGAAGAGTAATTATCAGCTTGATTCTCATAACAAGAGACAGAATAATGAGTAACAAATCATTATCAGTAATCTCCCCACGTTGAAACTCATAAGCAAAAGGTAAATGAAGCACAATTTATATTCCAAAAAGGGGGGGGGG